GTTTGAATCCAGCACTGATTTATTTTAGATTGACTGTGACGCTCAGAGGAGCATCAGTTCAAGTTGTTTGTGTTATTTATCTAATTGCTTCAGTCTCATGATCAGACCACTGACTTAGTTACGTTTCCTCTGGTTTCCAACAACAGGACCTGAAGCTGAGTGTGTCAACATTCTGGTTTTTACCGTCTGGAAACATTTTTGTGAATGAAACAGAGGAAGCAGAGCAGCAACGTTCAGTTCTCACATTCGTTCTGTTCATCAGGTTGAAATTAATTTAAGACAACTGTGTGCAGTTTAGTGACTTGGATTCATGGATAGAACACTGAACACAGGCCCTGGGTCCCCCCTGGCCTGGCCAGGGGGCTCCTGGTCCAGAACCTCAAAGTCAACAAAAATGACACAAAGACAGTAAACAACTACAAACGACACAGCCTTGTTGTCTCTAGTCTGGGGGGTCTTGCTCTGATGTAGTAGGGGTGGGGGCCTGTTACATGTCTGCCCATTGTATTTTCATCTGTCCATGGGAACATGAACAAAACAAATCTCTCCCAGAGTGTAAAGGTTTAGATTTGAGTGTTTTCTCCACAATTACTCAATACACACTCAGAGTTGAGTAACTGTGGAGAGAGTCTGTTCCCTGACCCTGGAGGATTCTGGTGGTCATTAAGATAAGAGTGTGTGTGTGTGTGTGTGTGTGTGTGTGTACACATCTGGACAGAGCAGGGATGTTATGCAACAGCCCTGTTGGAGCAGAGATCTGACCTGAGATCAGAGAGAAAGAGGGAAAGTGAGCAACAGCAGAAAGACTGTGGACTGAAAGAGGACATCAGATGTGTCTCCATGGTAACCTCAGTCGGTTTGTCATACAGTCTACATACATGCAGATATGTTCAAACATTTTCAGAGACATAAGGATATCGGCCGTTAACCCTCCTGAGATCAGCTTTCAGTCAGAGTCCATGGTCATCTTCTCAGCAGCTCTTTGTTCAGCTTCATGATGTCATTCCCTTCTTTGGTCTCAGACATGAAATCTGATGTTTGTTGTTGCCACATTAGTTTGTGTGAAGGTGAATGAAGCTTCATGTTGTTATTGCACATCAGAGCTGCTCCGTGGAGGCTGATATACTGATTTATTTTTCATCTACATCAGGACTGGAGAACAGGAGGAATTTAGCCTGCATCTCTATCAGTGGAGCTTTGAAGTGAATTGATTTCATCAGGTACAGTCAGGCACAGGTTTGTTAGGTATGAACTGATTGTATTGTGTCCTCCTGTCCTCGAGAGTTTGGACACAAGAGATCTACAGGGGACCAAACTTTTTGTTTTCTGTGTTGAGAATGGCCTCCGGTTAAAACTGAGGGTGAGACATGAACCAAACCTCTGATGCAAAAGTTCCCGACATGTTTTAAACTCTGTAAAACTCCTCTCCTATGATTCATATTTAGTTGAACATGGTTTTCACATATAAAAACTGGGTCTGAAGCTCTTACTCTTACTTCCTGATTGAGAAATGTGGATCAGCCCTTGAGCCCCGCCCACCACCTGCTTGCTTCAGGTGGACAGGTGAAAGAGCAGAGAGTATCAAGATGGTTAGAGGAGGAAACATCAGAGAGACTCAGCAACATGTTTGAGCCTCAGTCAGACCCAGACTCAGATGAGGAGTCTGAGACCAGAACCAGAGACTAGCAGACGGGTCAGAACAGTTAGCGCAGTTAGCATCTTTTATTTGTTAATGTTGTTTGTTAGCTTGTAACTGGCAGTGGCTAACACAGTGTCAGCGGTTGTGCTAATGCTAACTCTCTCTCTATACTGACAAGGTTTCAGGTTTATTTAGCCCCGCCCCCCATCCCAACAAGTTGACAGGATTGGTTCCTGAGGTTTGTGACGTATGAAACCCTGACTGTCTGAATCTGTGTTTATGAGACTGTCATTGGTTCACTGCAGTTCAAGGTGGAAACACTCAGTCATGGTGTTGATGATTATTTCACTCATCATATGTCTGTATTATATAAAAACATCATATGGACGTTAACAAGGTTAAACACTGGATTTTCATCTGTGTTGCACATCAAATCAGTCCAGAACCTGATCAGCATTCAGGCTTTTTCTAGTTAATGGTCGCCTTTGACTCAGGGCAAGGTGACAGGGGTTATTGTCTGTGTGTCTGTGTGTGTGTGTGTGTGTGTGTGTGTGTGTGTGTGTGTGTTGAAAGCAGAGTTAATGAGTACTGTGTCAGCTCTTTTGTGTGAGGTGTGTTTTCACCAGCTGACTGACCAGTGACTCTCAGCTACAGGAATGTAGCGTACACAAACACACACACAAACACACACACACACACACACACACACACACACACAGTAATAAGGTCCCTGTTGAATGAGAAGTGACAGATTTAAAGGATTGGCAGAAAAAATTAAAAACAAGAAACAGGAAGTCATTTGACTGTGAAATAAAAGAGCGTGTGACAGAGTAAGACTTTAACCAGACCTGGACCCAGGAGGGATTCTGGTTTTTCTTTTGGAGCATGGCCAGGGTATCAGAGCTCTAAAACAGTCCCAGGTGTCCAGTTACAGAAGGTAATAGAGTCTTGACAAAACCTGACAAAACTGCCTCATGTCGATGTGAGTCGAACAGGAAACGTTCAGTTTTTTTCACGTCTGTCTTAAAACAACATTCCTACATATGTATGTTCAGACCATTTAACATCACTGTAATGATTCCTGTTCAGACTGACCCTGAGGAGAGAGCTGCTCCAGTGTCAGTGATGGACAGGATCCACAGTCTCACCGAGTCTAAGCATGACATCTGCACTTCTTCTTTCCTTCCATTTAAAAATCTGAGCGAAAACACTGAAATAAAAAAAAACATCTCAACACTAGTCCATGGATTCTGCCTCTACTATCTGCTGCCTCAGCACAAATCCAGATCCATCAGACCTGGTCTTCAACTGTCCAGTGTTAGTGAGTCTGTGTCCACTGCAGCCTCAGGTTTCTGTTCTTGGTGACAGGAAGTGGAACCCGACATGGTCTTCTCATGTTGTAGGTTGGATGTGTTGTTCACTCTGAAGCTTTTCTGCTCAGCACAGTTGTAAAGAGTGGTTATCTGAGTGACCGTAGCCTTTCTGTGAGCTCCAACCAGTCTGTCTATTCTCCTCTGACCTCTGACCTCTCTCATCAACACAGAACTGGTGCTCACTGGATGCTTTTTTTGTTGCTCCATTCTGAGTAAAAACTCCAGAGGCTGTTGTGATGAGCAGCTTCAGAAACACTCAAACCAGCGTCTGACACCAACAATGTGTCACTGTCAAAGTCACTGAGTCACAGTTTTCTTCATTCTGATGTTTGATATGAACATTAACTGAAGTTCCTCACCTGGCTCTGCTGCTGCCACATGATTGGCTGATTGGATAGTTACATAAACAAGCAGGTGTAGAGGTGTTCCTGATGAACTGCTGTGTAAATGGAAATTGTTTTGATGTTGCTTTGACACTTACCATGTTTGGTCTGGATCTTCAGTTTGGCCCAAACCAAAATAGCAGGTGTGAAAGGTTTCACGGACCACGGTCCAGACCTAAGGACCAAAATTAAAGGGGACCTGTTATGCTTTTCTGAGTTTTTCCTTTCTTATAGTGTGTTATATAGATTTTTGTGCATGTAAATGGTCTCCAGAGTCACAAGGATCAAAGTTTACATCAAAGGGAGAAACTGTTATAGTAAAAACCTGAATTTCTCCTTTGTATGAAATGCCTTGTTGGGGGTCCAGACATTACTCCTGGTCCTATTGATGTCAATACTTCCCTTGGAGCTGCCCACTGCCCCCACACAAGGCGCAGCACATAACTACTTATGGTGAAACGTTTTCATTAGTTTTGTAGCCATGCCAAAAATACAGTGTTTTTAATTTCCTGCAGAAATCTGCTTCATTTTTCCACAATTCTCCAATGCCCCAAACAGTATAATGTGAGCTCGCACTTCAAGGAGGACTTCTTCAGAAACCACGCACAGTTAGACATTTCATTTTCACAACGGTTATTTCTGTAGTTCACACTTGATGTGGCCGAACAGGGGACTCAGGCTCAAGGCCTGTCAGTCTGCATCGTCATTGTGGATGTTAACCGCATTACCACGACCCAATCGCGACCAGATCATGTCAGTAAGAAGCAGCAGCAAAGATATAAATGCTTAAACATCATAAACCAGCAGGAGGTGAAGCAGTGGAGACTCACTAACTGTTGACCGTCTGTCTGTTCCTCCGTTATTTATATTCCTTTAGTCTGGAAGTGTCCACACACAAACATCAAAAGGGTTTCTTATGAAAATATTCCAAGTTATGAATATTTTCATCCGAAGTTTGTTTGCACAAGAAGGTGTCCTTTTCATGGTAGTTGCTGCAAGCTGACCAATCAGAGCACACTGGGCTACAGCTCCAGAGGGAGGAGGGGGGCCTTAAAGAGCCCTGAGCTCTAACGGAGCGTTTCAGACGAGGTGAAGAGAGTACAGTATAAAATGTAAAAGAGGAAAAATAATGATGATAAACACCAGGGATTAGCACCAGGGAACAGGAAGTGATGAAATGTAACTCATTTCTGGGCTTTAAGGACTCAGTCCTGCAGCACTCTATGTGAAACTGTCTTCAATGAAACAAAAACGTGAACACTGCTTCAGAGCCTGGTCTGGACTTTCAGGTGTGGTGCCCTCAGAAGAGATCCCTTCACAGACTGTATGAACAGGACAGAGTCATATTAAGACTATTAAGAACTTCTTTAAGTTCTCATCAAAGCCTTTACCTTATATTTATTTCCAGCACACATCACAAATATGAGGCAAAAAAAATCACCAGCTGTACAAAAGAATCGTGAGGGAAAGAACACTATGAATTCAAATCAACAACTGGACACTTTGTTGAGCTTTTACTGTAATGCGCCGCTCCCTTTCCCATTTCGACATTTCCGACCGCGCCTGAAGGCAGCATGAGCGGTACACCCGACGCCTCCCTGCTTCTTCTCCGCCGGTCGAGTCACTGTCGAGCAGAGGCTGAGAGAGGGACTGAGGGACAATCTGACTCTGTACGCCGCGTCTGACGCTTCAGTCCGGGTTCTGGTGACAGTTTGAGCCCCTGATCCGCCACCATGGCTCCCTGCAGTAAGTCAACAAACTGTCTCTAACTCGGTTCTCACCTCCAAAAAATGGGTGTTAAGTGAGGGTGAATTAAAAAAGTAGTATGATAATGAATTGAGGTTTGTTCACCGCAGGAACAGGGTTTTTATTAAAGCTTTAACGCAGATTGATCAGAATCACATTGATTCAGGCAGCAGCTGACCGAGTTTTCTACTGGTTAATCCACTGATCGATTAATCATTTAAGCTATGCTATAAAACTGTTAGAATGAGTTTGCAAAGTCCAAGGTGACATGTTCAAGTGTCAGTTCAAAACCCACAAATATATCAGTAATTAAAAAGTGATGAAAGTAGAAACTTCACATTAGAGAAGCTGAAAGTGGAGATTTGGTGTTTTTGTTCTGAAACTTTTGATGATTAATTGACATTGAAAAAGTTATTAAAATGTCTCCATTAATCATCTGGTCTGACTGATTCAGATGTAGTATCCTGCAGATGTGTCTGAGAATGAGATATTTGCTGTCTTATGTAGTTATTAGTTTGATCTGCTGCAGGACTGGACACAGGTGTATTCAGGTGTGAAGGACAGGTGAGGTCAGAGACTGACTGACTGACTGACTGACTGACTGACTGACTGACTGACTGACTGACTGACTGACTGACAGTGAAGCTCAGTGACTCTGGTTAAACCTTCATTTGGTCTCTGAAGGTTCATTTAAATAAGGTTTATTTAAAGATTTATTTGATGAGCCATGACTCTGCCATGACTTTTCAGTAGAGAAGGTGTGTTTGAGGCAGCAGGAATTGTCAGTGATTAACCAGCTCAGGAGCTCAACCTTTAGATCAGGTGGAGTCAGTGCAGATAGAGACACTGTGGGAGATGCAGATCACTCAGAGTCATACTTACTGATTGAACGATTAATTAATTATGACTTTTTATTCTAGACCACCGCCATCATGTATATACCTGAGCTACCTGAGGTCATACGTCAATATACCAGCAGGACTGTAAATGCACCTGTCACATGTCCTGCATCATGATTCATCTTTACTCATCCATATATTTTATGTTAACTGTGAGTGACTGACTCTGGAGCTTCAGTGGTGTAGGGCTGTTTTCAGAAGTTCAGTAACAACAACATAATGTTTAAGTCAATCAAATACCTGTTTATGTTAAACTGATGATGAGTCTCAGTGTAAAAATACAGATAAAATGATAGTTTGTAAATTCCTTTTTCAGCCCTGAGTAGTGTCTGCAGGTGTTCCTGTTAACGACCTCCAGCAATCAGGGAGGGCATCCTGGAGACTGCCTGAAAGACACAACCCAGGGCAAATTATATCTGAAAAGGGCTTGTTGCTGCTGCTCACAGTAAAACTGAAGGAGACTCGAATCAGTGAATGAGCTGTCAGTCAGGGGACGATGCCCTCTCCCTAGCCACAGTGGATATTACAGCCTCGGTCAGCTGTGAACTCACATAGCATCCTTTCCATCTCTGCAGCTCTGTGGACATTGTCAGTCTATTTAAGCTCCTAGGTTTGGTTTTGCAGCTCATTTCCTGTTTGGTCAAGTTTCACTGGTTTTCAGAGGAGAAACATCTGTAAAAAGACTCTGTCCTCTACCAAACAGCAAACAGACTCAGTCAGAGAAACATCTGTAAAAAGCCTCTGCACTACCTGCTGAGCAGCAAACAGCAGACAGACTCAGTCAGAGACAGCTGGTGAACATAGCGGAGCATTTAGCAGCTAAAGAGGAGCTGGTGGAGACCAAACACAGAGCTAGAAGAGAGGGGACACTGGACTGAGTACAGTAAAGTTTGATATTTGTTGCTGTTGGTTCTGTGGATAAGACGACTGAAGTCTGTTTATTGATCATCACATGTATCAGCTGATTTCTTCGGTGTTGGTCTGGGAATGTGGCGTTACAGGAACCTGCTGCAGGAGAGTCAGACACAGTAGAACAGATGTTAACTGTGCTGTGTTGCTAAACAACTGAGGAGATATCGTGAGGAGGAGGAGGAGGAGGAGTTACTCTTCAAATCAAGATTTTATAATAAATAACAGCTGTCACAAACAACAGTCTCTGTGGAAGTGTAACAGAATTTATATCAACATCTTCTGAATTCTATTCTATTCTTCTTGAAAGAAGCTTCCACCACTTTCTTAGTAATCAGATATTGATACGGTTCCATGTAGGTGAGAGGTGACAGGTGAGAGGATGAGATGACAGATGTGAGGTGACAGATGAGAGGTGACAGTATGTGGTGACAGGTGAGAGTTGACAGGATTTGGTGACAGGTGAAAGGTGACAGGTGAGAGGTGACAGCATGTGATGACAGGTGAGAGGTGACAGGTGAGATGTGACAGTATGTAGTGGAGTGATGATGTCAGCTCTGGATGTGAAGAGAAGCTGCAGTTAGAAACAGTAAGAAGTTGTTGTGTGAGTAACAGGAGTCATGCTCAGCTTGTTGACTGACGTCAGCTGATCAGTGATTGTGTTGTCCTGCAGCACAGAGGCATCTCTGTCATGTGGCCTCATTCAGCCTCAGCAGTCACCCTGCAGCGCTGGATTCACTGACACCACGACTACAGGTCTTCATACTGCTCAGGCTGGATGGCTGTTTTTTTTTTTATTGACACTGCAAACAATCAGAAGAATGAAGAGTGGTCAAAGTCTACTCTCTCTCTTTATCCATCTGTCTCTGTCTCTCCTTTCTTTTTATTCCTCCACCTCCTTCATGTCTCCTCTCCCCCCTCCCCCTCCTCCTCCTCCTCCTCTGGATGTGATTACAAAGTAAAATCAGCAGAGGAACATGAATGAGTGAAAGAAGCCACACATTAAGCTAGTCAGTGCTTACTGTAATGGAAACATGCCCCTCCTACCCCCCCACCGCCCCACCCCCACCCCCCACCCCCTCTATGTTTTTACTTGCTGAGTGAGATGTTTTAACTTCCTGCGGAAAAAACAACAGAAATGACAGAACTTCTGTTTCTGTCTGAACTCTCCTCTCCCCTGCATTGACCTTTGACCCCTTTACTGTTGTACCACTCTGCTTTACAGTGTTATCTTTCTTTATATATGATCCATCAGCTGGCTGTGATGAACAAATCTCCATACAAAGAATAGAAACAACATTAGAGTCAGGTTTAACACAATTCAGTATATACTCTTAACACATAGAAAAGTTAACGTCACGAGGGAGCTGGATTTCTCATAAGTGAGGATCCATCCATCCAGTGTCCTGTGAGGGAGGAGCCACTGGCAACTACGGAGAAGCCACTGTTTTGGTAAGAGCGTCTTTTTAAGAATCATCTAGTGACATGCTAACCAGCTTCAAAGCTCCGCAGACTAAGGGTTCTTGTTCTGTTGTGTTTGGCGTTCTCCTACTACGTCAGGCGATCGACAGATGATCACCTGCCCTGCTCTTTTCCAGATTTTTCTGTGTAACTGTAACGTTCCCAGAAAGTGTCTAGGAGTAAAGGGAAGTAATAATGAAAAAAATAAAGAGAGCCAAGCAAATAAAAACAGGAAACCAGATTCCAACCATAAATAAGGAGTTTATTCACAACAACGAAAACTATGAAAAATATAACAAAGAACTGTCAGTAGAACACTGGGTAATCACCAAGACACTATAACACATAGGTACGAAAGAGTAACAAAAGCTTTACAGGACAGGGAAAGTGATCAACTGCCCAGGGGCAACAGGTTTTCTCCATATGATTTGATTAATCACAGATTTGTTGTAATTCTGTGCCACTTAAGTCCAATATCAGCTCTGTCAGGTCCTCCATCCTCCATCCTGTTCTGCAGATATGTTCCGTTTCATCAAATAGATTTCATATTTTTCTGTGTAAACTCATTAACAGACAGAAAACCTCAGTTCAGGTCCTATTATTCATCACAGAGACCTGTACAAACTGTAAATACAACTGAGTAAATGGATAAAATGTCAGAAAGTAGTGAGAAGTTCCCATGAAGCTCAAGTGAACATATTCAGTCTTTTAGTCAGTCAAAAGTCAAACATTTTGAGTTGACTGTGATAGAAAACTGAGAAAAACTGCAAATATTCACATTTGAGGAGCTGGAAAAACTGAATTTTGACAGTTTTGCTTAAAGAATTTTCCTTCAAAATTAATTAATTTCTGTGTGTCTGAGGAAATAAGGAAGCTGCTATGTGTAGTAGGGGCCCAACGACAAATATCTGCTCTGGGGCTCCTGAAGAGGTTAATACAGCCATGACCTCAACTATGTGTTGAGGTCAACGCTCCTTAATAAGCCTTTTATATACATACAAATATATATTATATATTATATATATAGAAAAAAATCCACATTTTGGGGAACAAGTATCATCCACTAAATTCTAGTCATCAAAGTCAAAGTAAAAATCACAACCTGCAGTTTTCTAATGAACCAGAAAATAAACTGTATCTGTAGGAAAATCTGAGCAATCACAAGATGAATAGAGACATTACAAAACTGAAAACATTAAATTATGAATTTTTCTCTTTTTGTGTAACAAACTGAATAATTAAAAACAAATTGTTCTTATGGACCAATGAGAGAGAAAAATCTTTAGCTGTACTCGTCTCCTCCTCTATCTGTCTCCTTAATATTTAAATTGTAGACACTGAAATAACACACACACACACACACACACACACACACACACACACACACACACACACACACAGGATCAGACATTGTAAAGTTTTACTGAAATAAAACAGACACACCTTCAGTTTATGACCTTCAGATAAAACTAACCAACACACAATCGACTCACCTGCAGAAGGAAGACACACCACACTATCTCAACACAAGGACACGCAGCACATCAAACAGACCAGTCAGTCGATAAACAGAATCTCCAAACTGTGATACAGGACAGACAGGGATTCTGGGTAATGGTGTTCAAGTGAACATAAATCTAAACTGTTGTTGGGCTGATTTTGAATACCTTTTTGTATTTCTGGACAAAACCAGGAAGTTCAGTGAAAAAATACAGAGGTCGAAGGTTAGAG